TTTTTTTTTTTTTTTGGTATTTACCTGAGCTCTCGATGCTTCCTCTGGAGGTCTAGGACGAAAACCTGAAATCAAGTTTAATACAGTTTTGAAACAATCAACGGTACTTTGTTTTCTGCGATTTACTGCTTTCCGTAAGTTGTTCAAATTTTTTGGCCATTTATTTGCATTATTTTTTTAAAATCTCCTTTTTAAAACAACACCTACGCAAGTACAGTCTTTACCCGAAGGTTGATTGTTTTAACATCTTACGGTCAAATTGAAAATTTAAAAAAATGAAGAGAACAAAATATCTACATGCTTCCGAAGCCAATCTTAATTTCTTAAAAGTTCATTTCGTTTGATTTTTGCAATTCAAAAGTTCTGTTACTGTTATTTTTGTTTCAGCTTTTTTTTTATTTGGTTTGATTAATTTCTGCATCTCTTTCTTTTTTTTAATGCAACTTTGTTCGTCGCTAAGTGCAGAAAATTTTTAGATAATTTGGTATCACAAAAAAGAAAAGAAAAATTTGAGAGTAAAATAAAATTCAACGTTTGCTATAATATAGATAAAAAAAGTTTTTGTAAATCTGACATCTTTATACTTGTTGTTAAAGATCACTTTAACTTACCAAGTTTTTTACAGACGTAACCATAATTTTCTTTGCCTAATGTTGTAACACGCCATTTTGGGTTCGCATATACATACGCTGTACTCGATTTTCCCGCTGCATCCACGTCTAATATATTAGCCCAGTTGGCGTATTTCAAGCGTTGAATATCGTCATCCCACATCCATCGCCCGTTTGAGTACATTAGACCAATCCAAAACGGCTTTGCACCAGTCATATCTAAGCTGCTAGGTAACAGCTGATGGATACATTTTCATCAGTTTAGGTAAAAAAATCATTTATTTGGTGATTAATCCTTAAAAAAAGGTTATTTTTGAAAAGCTTATAGGATAATTATAGCAAATTTTGTATGGTAATTGTCTGTCATAGAAAGCTATTTATAAATTTTACACACAAAACATCATTTTAACAAATGCGGTTTGAAAAGGGCTAAAAAGGAAGACAGTTGGTAGGCACTGTATAAAAGAACAGCTTACGTACGACAAACATAAACTACAGCTTAACGTTGTTAAAAGGTTTATATTTTACTCAATTACAAGTACTAGTAGAACCACTTTTTTAACGATTTTAAAGCTATTAACTTCTTAAATAAACATGCAAGCAAAAACAAAGCTTTTCTTGATAGAAAAAACATTAGCTTTGCTTAATTTATTCTTAATAACAACTGTAATCATCGTCCTCAAATTAAGTACAGTGATGACTGTGTGAAACAACCAAACATACTTTTCACAAACTGTTCTTCCTTCTCTGTCAAAAGAGACGTCAAATAGCTTCCGTCTTTCGCCATACATTTCGCTTTAGCACCGTCACGAGAAGTCACATCGTTGCCCTAAAATTTCTTACAAGTAGATCTTTTGAAGATGCTGTTATTAGGCACTCTAGTGAAGTTTCTAAACTGACTCAAACATTTGCTCCTCTCATGTATTTGGCTTCTCAGATGCGGACAATTAAACTGTGATATGGGAATATAATGTGAGAAAAAAAAATTTGTTTGTCAGGTGTGAATGACCCTGCGGCTTCATAAAAATTTACAACGAATCGACGTTCAATAGACACTGAAACTTTTAACATGGCATTTTTTTTATTCAGTATAAGTTGCAACAGATCTTATTGAAACCTCCATTTCTTATTTTTATCAGGCAACCAGAAAACATGATATTACACTGCAGTGGTCGATTAAAAAAATTTGTGTTAAATTCGACAAACTTAATTCCTTGTATGTTTTAGTGGTAACTAATAAAGTGCATTTTCACAGTTTTAAGTTAGTAAGAGCTTTATCAAGCAGTTAACAGAGAGATTAGCGACAGTGTTAAGTGTACTGTTGACAGAGAGATGTATATAATAAAAAAATCATAATTTGAGTTCTCCAAGTACAGATGAAATTGGAAGATACAGGTTACACTTATGGTTAATAATTTATTATAATGCAAAAACTCCTTCAATTCTAAGTCATCCCAAAAAGTGCTGTAAAACTGATTTTCACATCACTTTTTCAAATATTATAAAAAAAGCTAGAAAAACATAGTTTATTGAGAAAAATATAAGCATTTTTTTTTTTGAGAATACCAAAAATAAGACTCTATTGGTTAATAAAAGTTACCTACGTAGAAGTAACAGTAAGGTGACAGTTTCTGCCACTCTGGTTCGCAGTCGATCGGAGCTGGAAAAAAATAGCAGTTGTTTCTAGATAATCAGTAGAAGTTTCTAATTTCCAGAAAAATTTTTGAACATTTTACCGTTCTTTTTGCTACATTGCCGCCTAGTTTCAAAAACTGATTGCAAGTTAGCTTTCCAAAAAACAAGTGTGGTTTCAGAAGCAGCTCTAATATTTGAACATAAAAGTCGCAGTGTAATCTAAGTGTTTTCATGATAAAGTCTTCTCATAATGCCTAAAGTAATCTTCAAAAAAATTCAAGATAAATTAAATATAATATAAAAAGCTCAACCTTTTTTTTTGCAAATATATATTCTGTTTCCGCTTATACGATCACAAGGAACAATCCCCCATTGTTCGTTGAAATTACCAGAAATACATTTATCAAAAGATTTTGGTTCACCTATGCCATACCAGTTTGTATAAGCCACAGCTGTGGGTGGATCAAGCCATGCCCAATCATGTTCAGTCCTATATGCTCCAAGCCAGTAATCTTTGCTTTTAGCTATACCTACAGTTGAATAGTAATTCGTGCTTATCAGCCAAGGTTATAAAAAAAACTGTCTTCAAATTACTTTTAGACTGAGAAATAAGCGTTCAGTACTACTTCTGAAGCAAATAAATAAAAAGGTACAAAGGTCATAATTTACACTAACTCATTTTCATATAGACTGATATGCTTTTTGAAAGAGCAATGTAAATCACCAAAATACTGTTGAAATTACTCAAAAAGTGTACAAATTTGTTACTGCAAAAAGTATTTGACAGTAAACAAACAATGCAAATTAAATTAAATAAAGTTATACATGAAATACAGATGAAAATGAAATGGTCTTTGACTCGTTGTACGGCATTACAAAATCGTTAGTCCTACTGCACTTTCTGGAAATATTTGTGCTTTAGATCTCATCTAAAACCGCACATTAATTTTTAGATTCTAACAGACTATAGAAGCACTATTTACCCCTATAAATATTTTTTGCAGTTTTTTACAGATTAACAGTAAAATACAGTTTTGGTTTAATACTCCTACCGTTTGATAGCAAAATTGTTTTCTATGCATTATTAAGTCATATAGCATAGGCAAAACTAACCTCTTACAAAATCGTCTTCTTCACTTGACAATATAGAAACTGGTGTAGAATTATGAAGCAAACACTTGTCTATTACTTCTTCATATTTTAAACCTACTTCAAAAACCTCAAAAAAGAAAGATTTAGCTTGTTTTATATCATCTTCAAGCATTAAAAATCAAACATAATAATATATATATATATATATATATATATATATATATAT